CGACATGGAAAACTGGTCTTGATGGAGTTTGGTACAAGGTTACTCTCATATATTTCCCTGCACATTTCTTTAATGTTTACTATACAATACTCTTCGGTCACACCTCGTAACATGATTGTTTTCTTTATTACAGTGCATAAGATGCCTAAGGCAGACATCTGCTTTTGCTTCACCAGGTGCTTCTAAGCAGCCAAATCCTAATGAAAGAGAGACTTGGTGGACCAGCCGTTGGGTTTATTGCTGCCCCATGTGTGGTGGAACTTGGGTCCGTGTTGTATAGAAGATCAAATGAAATGCCAATCTACTGTACTGGCTTTGTCAAGTATCAAGATAACTTGAGGAGAGTGCAAAGCCAAACCAATGGTAACTTGAGGAGAGTGCAAAGCCAAACCAATGGGCTAAAGAGGTAGTAGAATTTTAGCTTACATAGAATTATTCACTGGTGTCAGTCTTTGGTACTCCTAATCTTTACTCCCGGCGAACCGTGTCATCTAAACACTTATTAAAATATAAGTCTTGAATGGAATCAGGAGCTAGATGGTCTCTTCAAAATTCGGACTGTGTACTGAAACGGGTCTTGATGTATAGTGACTTGGTAGAGCCCTTATGGTTTATAGGTTTGCTTCTTGTGGACTGTCAAAACTCTTGAGGCTACGACCTCATTCTTTGATTTCTCAAAAGGGATGTAGTAGAGTGACTGTAGAGAGCATAATGATGATAATGATGGTGTAATAGAGTTCATGATGGTGATGGTGTAGTAGAATCCATGAAGGCAAGATTGTGTCATGAAAAGTTTATTCATTCGTTGGCTTTTGGTTTGTAGTTCACGATTTTATATCAAGTACTAATTTAAAGTTACAGCGATATATTTAGCTTAAACGGATCAATTCAATCAAAACTAGTTATGAGAACTTTCTATATTTACGACGTCTGAAGACATGCACTGACATATTCGAAAAAAATCATAGAAAAATGTTATCAAAGGTTTCGACTTTCGGACTAAAATCACCTTTAGTTGTAAAGATCTATTGATTTTAATACTAAGAGTAAGAGCTATTGTCAGTAAAGATATTATAAAAAGAAAGTTATCATCAAACAAGACGTTGCTGCTACGTTGTTCTAAACATGTGTATTGGGCAATTCTCAAAATTCATATTTTCTAAATAAACTCTAAACTAAGTAAAAGTTATTCTCTTATACGAAGAAATGATATCTAGGACGATGTTAGAGGTATAGTTTTTCTTGATTTCTTGTCACGGGTATGTATAATAATTTTTCTCATTCTAAGAATTTCCAACAAAAACTTTGTACTTTGAATTGCAAAAATTTGAAAATTGATATTTTTTTAGACAATTTCTCATTGTTAGATTTCTCATTGTTAGACAATTTTTTGTACTTTTTATTTTTTATTTTTAAAAATACAAAACAAAGTCACCAAAAATATGCTGAGTTTTTTTTTAGAAAAAACTCGCGCTTTATATTTTGTCAAAAAAATTGATGCAATATACACCTGAGCAATTTCCCCTATTATGACACGAGATCATGCCAAAAACTCATGGACGTTTTTCTGATTAGAAAATATGAATAGAGATCAATCTTATAATTAGAAAGGAATGAGACTAATTAAAGAAACAAACTCTAAAAAAGGCCAGGCTGTAAATATGATAACCTCCCTAATCCCATTATAGTACAACCGATCAAACAAAACAAAACAGAAGCAAATCATTACAAAATCATTAGAAAAACAACACCAATTATAGTAAAAAAAAAAAAAAAAAAACTGCAAGATTGTTGGCTTATTGTCCCCCTCATACACGTGCATGGGCACGTGCAACTTCTTCTCTTGGCTTCTCTCATTGAATAATCTCCGCAGCATCTCCTAAATTACACCTCCATTCCTCCAAATCAAAATCTGATCTCTCTCTCTCTCGTCGTCTCACCGGGAAAAACAAAAGAAGAAGAAGAAGAAGTCGACGGGAGAGACGAAGGAAAATAATGGGGAAAGGAGGACGTGAAAGGATATCAAAAGAAGAAGAAGAAGAAGAAGGAGTCATGGCTACAGATTTCTTCTGGTCTTACACTGACGAGCCTCACGCTTCGAGGAGACGTGAGATTCTCTCTCGTTACCCTCAGATTAGACAACTCTTTGGTCCTGATCCATGGGCTTTCCTCAAGGTCCTTCTTTTCTCTCTCTCTCTCTCTCTCTCTCTCTCTCTCTCTCTCTCTCTATCTATATATATATATATATACCATTGTTCTCTGCATTGTCTGATCTGAGATATAATCTTAGGGTACTGTCTCGTCTGTTTTGTTTTTGTTCGTCATTGTCTTTTTGATAATGCATGGGTTTGAAGATATGAATCACATGAAGGAAATAAAATAAGATTAGATAATGTGAGATCGCAGAAGATAACAAACGGATTAATTTGACGTTTAGGGCAAACTTATTCCGTTTTTGATCTCACAACAAAGAGTTTGTGACTCATATGTGATGATGTTAACCATCATTATATAATTAGGGTTTTTCTCTTAAGGGTGGTCGTTTCCGTTTTTGGTTTGGTTCGATTTAAACCGGGTTCGAATATATATTAGTTTTAAAAGAAAATTCGGTTTATTTGATTCGGTTGCACAAAATTATAAATTAATGAATGTTACAATAGGGGTTAGTTATTTTAAAACTTCGGTTCGGTTTAATTTTGGTTTCTTGATTTGAATCTACATTTCGATTTTTCAGTCTAAAGATTCTACCATCTCCGTTTCAAAATATAAGTCAGTTATAGATTTTTTCACACATATTAAATAAACAATTAAATTTTATGTTTTAGCCCTCATTAATGTACTATATAATGTGTTCACACTAATTAATAAGCTAATAGAATATTGATAAAAATGAAAAAAACATCTAACATTTGTGTTGAAATCCAAGAAAAATTTCTATTTTTGAAAAAATTAATCTCAAAACAATTTTTATTTTGAAAATTAAGGAGGGATAATAAATGTCACCTTCACCCCAAGAGATTGCAAAAAAAGAAAATAAATCAAATATTGTTTGTTTTTTTTTGTTACATAAAGAAAGTACCTCAAATATTAATAATCAATTTTTGTGTGTTTTTACTTAACTGCAGATCACAATAGTGGTTATGCTTCAACTCTCAGCAGCAGCAATCCTTCACGACTCAGGATGGCTCAAGATTCTAACAATTGCTTACTTCTTTGGATCTTTCCTCAATCACAATCTCTTCTTAGCAATCCATGAGCTAAGCCACAATCTCGCTTTCTCAACTCCGGTCTACAACCGCTGGCTCGGTATATTCGCAAACCTACCAATCGGCGTACCAATGTCGGTTACATTCCAAAAATACCATCTCGAGCATCATCGTTTCCAAGGAGTAGACGGTATAGACATGGACGTTCCTACTCACACAGAAGCTCATTTAGTAACCAACATCTTTGCCAAAATCATTTGGGTTTTGTTACAACTCTTCTTTTACGCTCTTCGACCGTTATTCGTCAAACCAAAACCACCCGGTTATTGGGAATTCGTCAATTTCTTCATTCAGATCGGTTTAGATGTATCCGTGGTCTGGTTCTTGGGATGGAGATCTCTCGGTTATCTCATGTTATCGACGTTTGTTGGAGGAGGGATGCATCCAATGGCGGGACATTTCATCTCGGAACATTATGTTTTTAAACCGGACCAAGAGACATACTCGTACTACGGTCCATTGAACATGGTAACGTGGAGTGTAGGGTACCATAACGAGCACCATGATTTCCCGAGGATACCGGGACATAAGCTGCATAAGGTGAAAGAGATCGCAGGAGAGTATTATCAAGGATTGGAGTCGTATAAGTCTTGGTCACAAGTTATTTATATGTATATTATGGATTCAACTGTTGGCCCTTTTAGCAGAATGAAGAGGAAGCTTTCTACTCATAATAAGTCTGACTAATTTAATTCTTCTTCATTACTCAATTTTTGTTTTTTTTATCAAGCTCTCTGTTTTGGTATGTTTTGGTTTACGTTGGCTAATTAATTCGTTGATTTTTGTAATTTATTGGAGAGATTTTTGTGATCTTAGAATGGCTTGCTTATAATTAGGTGGTCCATATTATTATTATTATTATTAATAAATAAAAAAAAACATACATATAATAATAGTCTTTTTAAGTTATCAATTAAGAGAGTTCATCAGTTGGGGTCCAATCCAGGTTCTGATTTTGTCAAGCTTATGTGATCTTAATTAGAGTGGCTTAGGCTTATATCACTATTTTTATAATAAGAACCAAAATGTACATAAAAATAATCTTTTTAATAATTTATCATTTAAGAGTTATTCAGCTGGTCCAACTCCGGTTTTGATTTTGTTAAGCATCAGATCGGATTTTGTCGGATCACTATGCGGCTTTACATGTTAAACCTGTAATTAGCTAACCAGATAATTTTTCTCATGTTCTTATGAATATAGAAGTCACATTATTTAGACCATATTGTAGCACATCATTATTTGTTTTATTTTTGAACTCATAACCTAAGTTGCATGTTATAGTCGTTCGCCTCCACGTTCAATTCGGTTCTAAAATGAATATAAACGGTTGTACTTTGAAAAACTATACTCAATCATCTTGAACCGATCTTACTTTTCATCGGTAATACTCGGATTATTTGGGAATTTATTACAGAAATCAATCTATTATATCTTTTAAACTCCATAAATATCTGAATTTTGGGGAGTCTAAATACTGTAGTTTGCATATATTTTTAGCAAATTTATACATGTATCAATTATGCTCAACAATTTTACACTTTAGTTGACAACTCTTTGCTAATTTATTTACGATAGCCAGCAAAAAAATTACCACAAAAAAAATTACCACGAATCGAAAATTGGCCTAAAACGTAAAAACTGCAAAATTCAAAAATCTTAATTAGACCGCCAGACCTGATTCAGAGTATTGAGTATATAGATTTTAACATTTCTCACTAGTATTATAAACCCTTCACCAATTATGACTCTATTGTGAACACAACTCAAAAAAGTGAAAAACAGAGGATTATGTTAATAAGCTTTTCCAAAACTGTTACATTGTGAATACACAACTCAAATGTGAAAAACAGAGCAACATGGTTAATAAGCTTCTTCAAAACTGTGAATTGCTAAGGAAGGTAACTACGCATCTTGTGCTTTGGAAAAGCTTGTCCATTTTCTGCCATACCAAACTCTGAGTTTCTAAAAGCTTCCTCGCCTTCTCTTGTAAACTAGGGTGGCACCGTATGGTCTCACCGTGGATCTGTCATCGGATCAACCAGAGTTTTGTTAGAGTCGAGTTTCTCAACCTAAAATAAAGTTGGTAATATGGGAAATGAAAAGTTCAATTACCTTCAGAAACAATTTCACAACTGCCTGCATAAACTCAAAGTTGTTTCTGCAAGTGATCTCATTGATGAAGTAATCTAGAAGTTGTCCAATTGATATAAACTCAGGCCTTTTGATCAGCTCTTCTTCAGCATCTTCATCTATAATTTCAAGCATCCGTAGCTCCATGTCGAGAGCTGATGGGGATAAACCTTTTATGTGATCTGTGAAATCTGAAACTGAAAAAACAAACGTATTCCGTAGAGAAATGTAAGCTTCTTCGACATTGATTGACTTATAAAAACGTAATCAAAGACTTGACTTACAATGTTTCGAATCCCATGAGGACTTGAGAAGTTTTGAGAATGGAGATTCCAATGCATCAAACTTCTTCATGCTATTCTGTGAGTCTTTATTCTTGTCCTGATTCTCCTCATCATCATCTGATTCATTTGACTTGAACAATATATCTCCAGAGAGTGATGGAATCGAGGGCAAGAAAAAAGGAGCCTTTTCAGGTTTTTTGGGAGGCTCTATTGGTTTATTCCGGGCCTATGACAACATCAAGCATCATATATTGTGATTATATTCACCAAAAAACTTGGCACAAGAAACGCAATTTAAGGTGAGAGAGAGCGTATGCAAACCTTTATTATATCCAAGTTGATCAAGCTTTGCCATTGGCTTTTTGGCAATAGAGACAGAGTAACAAGTTCCGGGATCTGTTTAGGGGGAATCGAGAAACTGACAGCATTTTGGCTTCCAGGATTTTCTGAAACTTGCGTCTCCATATCATCATCAGCTTCAGAAGATTTCAACGCAGAGACTGAAGGCAATCTAACATTTACGACATCTTTTCCACTAGCATAGGAACTGACATTTGGAGCACTCGAGAACATGGATTGATTAACCCTGAACATGTCAAGGGGAGAGAGTGAAGTCATTAAAAACCAACCACAGAACAACTATATATTTGTAATTTGAGAGAGATTACCACTTACAAAATAGGAGCTTTTGATTTGAGAACTTACCACAAGTAGACCCCGTTCTGATCAGAATGGGCTGTTGCCAAAATGTCCATATTTGGTGATAAAGACAATGCTGTGATTGGCACATCGACATGCACTCCATCAATCTGTTTTGCTAGTATGACATCCCAGATTCTAAGACTTCCATCCATGCTAGATGAGAGCAGCCACTTGCCATCCTCACTAAAGCACAAATCCGTTACACGGTCTGTATGACCTCTAAATTCACGAACCATCTTCAGGACCACAACATCATACAAGCGGATCACAAAATCGTTTGCCACCGTAGCCAAAAGACCTACCCAAGTGATGAGGAGTTAGCACAATCAGAAACAATAGAATGAGAAGATAAAGTATAAAAAAGACGATACAAATGTGATATGTACAGGAAATAAAAAGTAGGGTTTAGTTGAGCAAAGTTTACCATTCACACGGTGGTAGACAATTTTAACCAATGAACACCCAACATCCAGCCGGGACTTTAGTTCCCGCTTTTTGAAATCCCAAACCTGTATTTCCCAAATGAAATATTTACAAACAGTCTATACTGAGACAGACCAGAAATATCAGCAAGAGTTAATGCAGCCATATCAACTAAGCAATGAATGGCTTGAAAGAGGAGTAAAGGCGCATCCTACAATCCAAACATAAGACAAGAAAACTTTCCGAACCTTTACATCACCAAGGTATCCTGCACTTATCATGAGTGTGTTTGTGGAGTCACAAGCAACTCCAATCACTTCCCCATCATGAGAGTAACTTCTTTTCTCTGACTTATCCAAGTAGCTACCCCGGCTGATTCCAGATTGGAGGTTGAATCTCTCAATCCAGCCACTCGCAGTTCCGACTACTGCAAAGTTTCCACACGCACTGATTGCACAAGCCTGTCAGACAAGCAACTTTTAGAGTTCAGTAACACTAGAGAAGAAGAAAAGACCACTGCTGCTAAAAGGGATAATTCCTAGGTACCCCAAGCTTCTAAACATGCTAGAAGGAACCATGGTGCAATAGTATGACAAAGAACTGAAAAAATGTTTTCAGCCCACTTTTACTACACATTTCAAAGGAAAACAGTATATCATTATAGAGACTTGACAACATTTTAGCCTAACTAGGTTAAACTCAATTCTTGTGACAAGCAAATGGTTATCAAAACCTATGGAAAGGGGGTCAATATAGAACTTTTACATTTCCTATTCAGGAGAGTGGTAAAAACCAGAAGAAGGGACAGTCAAGTTCAATCTTGTACCTTAATTGGTGTTGGATTCTCAGCGCATGGTTTAAGGATATGTTCTCCAAGAACAAAGTTCTGAAGTCTCCATACATATGCTTCTGCTGTATCCATATGGCACGTAACCACATTGCACCAATCGCGCTCCCTAATTTCAGCTTCAATTTTTCGGAGAGAAATGAATAAGAATAATAGTCATTAGGATGTATAGCAAGAAAATAACATATGTCATGGGAAATGCAATTTTCTCTTCATCAACATGCATAGAACGTAACATAAGGTACAATCTAAGCTTCACTTAACAGGGTCAATAGTATCTCCATGGGGATCAACTAATAGAATTGTTTGTATTAACCACATTGGACCTAATTACTGCTCAGCCCATTTTTCAGAAATCAATTGGATTCAAGTTTATGTTTCTTCAGACATAATGATATTAAGAATGTGAATGAGAGAAATTGACCAGCATAATTATATGATAGAAAAACTGAAGCTCAACTATGTTAGATAAGTACCGCAATCAAATGCAATAACAGGCTTCAATTTCAGCTCTTCCTCCTACATCAAAAAGAAAAAGAACATAAGCAAAACGTAATTAATTCCAAGCACACATTACATATGCAACTATTTTCAAACACCGAAAACAACAGGAACAGGATATATATAAGGTGTGCCAATTGTCAAATTCAATCAGAACCAATAAAAGCACGCTAACTGACCCTTAAAAGAAAAAATCTTCTAGCTATACCTTCAATCGGAGTTTCTTGGCTCGTCTCGATATGTGTCTTTGAGAAAGCTCTCTACTTTGTTGCTCCTGATGAAGTAAATAATGTAAAGGAAGACTTTTATCATCAATGGACATCAAATCTTTTGGAAGGATACAGACCACAAATTGAGAGACAAACTACTCATTAACAGTAAAGAATAAAAATTGCAATCGAACTAAATTCCAACAAAGAAGCTATTCATTAGCACATTGGCAAAGAAATTCCAATAAAAAGAACTGAATTAAGACGAGTGAAAGACAAGAAAGACTAAATTTTGGAAGTGGTGTCTAACAAATATCCTAGCCAATTTTGTAAACTTCGCATTTAAACCAGTAAAAGAAAATGATTATTAATTAATTAATTGATCTGACAATACTGAACTCTTATGATTGTCAATTCAGTTAAAATAATGCCGATGGGGCTACTTTCTGAACTGGTTGTAAAGTGACAAATGAATAGTCAATGTCTAAAATCTAATTCAAAAATTACAAACTACTTATATGTTCTATAGCTGTGCGATTTCATAATCCTGATATACAAGTGTTACTAAATCTATAACTTATCTTACCTGGATGACAGAGAACAGACGGAAGGCACGATCCTGGCCAGCAGACAAAATGTGTCGTCCATTTGAGTAGAACCTACCACAAATAGAAACCACTTATGATTACAAGACAACTTCTTGGCATGCCCTCGCCACTCTATCTAAGAAACACAAATAGGGATAGTCCCAGTGGCAAAACACTTCACTAAATAAAAGTGTTTTTAGTATCAGTAGGATGACTATATGTGTTACTAATAAATAGAGATCATTAGTGCTAACTACATACCTAACAAAAACCATAAAGCCTCACAAGTAAAGATGCAAGGTAAAGGCAAATGGAAGCAATCAAATCATTAAGCAAATATTTGAATGCCCAAGCTAATTACCTGATACACAGGGGAGGGGCACTATGCCCAGAGCGGAAGCGTAATAGACGAGGATCACCATCGTTTGTGTCAAAAATCCACATCTACAGATACGAGGCATCAAAAAAAGTAAATCACATGGCATAGTAGATGCAAAAAAGTTTTGGCAGGTAAGTGAAAGCTCAGCTTACTTTGAGTGAATTATCTGCTGATGCACTTATTAGCACAGGTTCATTTGCTAAAAAGTTCAATGAGATTATAGAACTGTCATGTGCATCTCTAATGACCGACTGAAGCCTTTTTTTGTTAAGATTCCAGATGCTTATCACACCAAAAGAACCTCCAGAAGCAAGCAGGGGACGCCCATCTAGCATGACAGGATACACGTTAGCATTGAAAAGTAACTAGCCTTCATTAGCTGTAGAAGAGGATAGTAACAAAAACTACTAGTACAATTACAAACTTTAGTATATTGGAAAACCTACTAACAGCCTACAGTCATCTTTTGAACTCGTAACATGTGTGGACAATTCTAGTTCATGAAATATGAGTTAGCATAGATGGTAAAGCTCTGTAATGGGAAAATAAATATTTAGGTCCACTAAAATAAAATACGGAATGGCTCTTTTTATGGTCGCTACACTCGCAAAAATGTTGGCAAAAAAAGATTAATAAACTAGAACCTGCTACGAAATCAGATTCAAATGGCAATGAAATAAAAAAAGAGGCACTCATACGCTGAACAAAAACTAACTTCAAGACCTCGGTGTTAAGTTTACCTGTACTGAAAGACAAAGAGGTAACGGCACCTCGTGAGGCGTGTTCAAATGTTACGATCTCTTCGTCCAATTTTATGTTATGCACATGGATCTTTCCATCAGCACAACCAATTGCAACAACATCCAGGGCAGGGGATGAAACACAACTGCAAACAGGTGAACCCCAGCCCTTAAACTCATAGAGCATCTTCTTAGTATTTATGTTCCATAGCTGCAGTGGACCCTCTTGGCTCCCTATAAGAACCTACCCATGTGGTTTCGGGTAAGAGACATTTGCAAAGATTTCTACAAGGATTGCCAAATAAAAGGATGAGCCAAGTAAGACATACCTTGTTCAAATAAGTGTCTGGGTGAACAATACAACTCGGAGTAAACTTTCCAGAAAGCTGAACATGTCCAATTGGAGCTAGATGTTCTTCGATTCCTTTGAACGCCCATATGAACATATTCCCCTCTACGTCAAGACTTAGGACGTGTTCTCCAAATAACAGAAGCAATTCAACTTTAGCAACATGCTTGCTCCAAGTTGCTACCTGATAGATAGATAGCCACAAAAATCACAACGAGATACTAGAACAAGACAGCTGTGGGCATCAAGGATCTTCAAGCAGTTTTTTTCGAAAGACTAACACTTAGCCTATATATGGTTTATGTTACCCTAAATAAGACAGGCATGTTTAGGTCCAGGTTAATGGAGCCAGACATACCTGATGAGCGCGTTTAAAAACTGCGATTTCATTTCCAAAAGCAGCAAATGTGTAGTCACGGAAAGAAGCAAGAGCTCTGATTTTCTTTGGAAGCTGAGGACCTACAAATAAGAATTTAGTGTAAGAAAATCAAAGCTAAATGGAATAACTTAGACAAGAATCCATGAATTTTAGCAAGAAAACGTTCAAAAGTACAAAAATTTAAAATTTCTAGAGGAAGGAAAGCTTACTGATAATGACTAGATTTAGCCTGGCACACTGCAAGAAATTGAAGGAAAAAAAAGAAGAGAAAACATTTAACCAAAAACTCAAAGAGAAAACGAAGTAAGTAAAGTAAATAGATTAAAAAGGCGATGGCTTTACGTTATATATCTGGAAAGCTTTGCCGACGCTGACGGTGACGAAGGTCTCCGTGCCCAATCGCTGAACGGAGAAAGGAACGGTGCTCGTTATGTATCCAATTGCTCTATACGGTTCGAAAATCCCCATCTTCGACTGTGCAACTACACAAAGCCCGATAAATTAGGGTTTCCGGAACAAATGGGATTATCAATTGTCTTGAAAGAAAATCGAAGAAAGCAAGAGTTTCAGAGGGAGAGAGAGAGAACGCGGCGCTATGGAGGAGACAACAAAGGTATAGGGTTTAAGGTTTAACGGATTAACAAACAAAAATGTTTTTTTTTTTTTTGGTTACAATCGAACATTTGGTATTATTTGGTTAAGGTGAACATATGGTTCTCCGCTCTGGTTAAAGTGTAATTCGGTTCATTCGTGTCATTTTTTTTTGGGGTTTGTAAACTGTTCCACCGAATTAGAACTGGTCTTTTTTTTTTGTTCAAATTTGTAGTTTGAGAAAATTTTGGTTTGGATTTGGGTAAAAATAAAATCATTTAAAATAATTGTATTTTCTGTTAAGTTGCAGAAATTTTGGTTTATATGCATAGATACCGATCAATTTATTTACTGATTTTCACTCAGTTCACTTTTCTTGAACGAATTTGGTTTGATTTTGTTTCATATACAAGTATCAATACTTTTTTTTTTGTCTGATTCATAAAACCCATTAAAGGGGCTGAACTACAAGTATTCAAAATCCATTATACAATTTAGCTCATCATAACTAGAAACTAATAAAAAAAAAAAGATAAGGATTAATTCATGGCTAACACGTGTCGCTTTCTGTATCACGTTCTACTGGAAAAAGCCATCACCTATTTTCTCTGCCGGCAGCTTTGTTGAGTCGACTCACGGAAAATTAAATTAAAATTCATGAAAATCGACCTAATTTCTTTGAATATTGTTGAACACCTTATGCAATCTTCATCAAGTGTTGTTGATCGAAAGACCACAGAACCACCAGGTCTGGAAACGCAGAAAAACACCACAAAGCCCAAGATTCAGAACCGTAGCAAAACACGCTTTCCGAGACTGCTCAAAGCCAGGCAACGTCATGCAATACTTAAAAGAGTAATTCCAACCGTTAGAGTTAGATCCTAGCTTTTGGATTGCACAGTCATGACATTCAAAGTATTATATACAAGTACCAATACATAAAGTAGTAATTGCATGTCATAACATTCTTTAGAAGCATATAGTGTGATTTTCTGATTGATTTTCTGATTGTTTTTCTGATTGTTACAGTTGATTGAGATTTTAAGAACATGATGCTTGATCAATAAAGAAAGAACATCAATGTAGTCAAAACATGATGTCGATTATGATGTTTGATCTACAAGTGAAGAAAAATTAAATATATTTTCTTGTGATACTTAGGATAACTAATCGTTAACTTTACTCAATCAATTTTTCTGGAAAGACGATTATGATATTCAAACTCTCCTCAAGTTTGGTGGACTTGGGTGTATTTTTTAATGTTTTAAAAGTTGCTTTTGCAATTTTCTTTGTTTATGTTTTACTGATTTTCTTTATTTTGCTTGGAGATTCCATCAACGTCTATGTAATTATCAAGTTCTCTCTGTTATTCTTGTCTAATTTAAAGTTTTTTTCACGCATATCTAATTTGTTTTTGAAATTGTGAAGATTGGAGTTACAACCACTTCTATTAACTCAGAAAAGAAGTATCTTGTTTTAGTACCAAATTCAGTCTTTTCCAACAAGTTTAGTTTATTCATTTTGGCATTGTTAATGTAGTTTTTATATTTGACTTCATGAAGTTAATATTATACCATTTGATCGAATTTTGTGCAGTCTAATACAATTTGTTAATGTATATTTGTTGAATATTCATTATTTAAGTCAAAACTTCATACCATATTTGATATTCAAACTTGATCGCATCCAAAATATTAATTTTACATAGAAATTATCAGAATTCATAAATTTTATTTAGAATTGTAAAGTGATGTAATGGAAGCTTTAATGGATATAATAACTCATGTAGCACAAGTTCTAATATATATAATATTATAAAAGAGAGAATCAGTTTCATAAAATCTCTAGAAATCTGCCAATTCAACCAATAGATTTAATAGACTCTTCACCATTTTCCCACTTCATTCTAGGTCGAATATCTTTATCAGAAATTAGTTGAAGTTCATCCAACTGAAATATTCTGACTTTGTATATGTTAGCCGGTTTGACAACGATTATTTTTCTTGCCCACCATCTAAATACATCGATTTCTCATAGCAGATCAAACTCTCTTGGACTATCTCCAAATGATGGTTGTTTTGGACGCATTTGATGTTTGTTGACACACTCCAAAACCTTCTTCAGCTTTGTCTCTTTATCCGCAAAAATGTTTGAGTATTCAACAATGTAGACATTTTTCATTTATTTTTATCAATGTTCCTTCAAACTATTCACATTCTTGAGATTTAATCTCCACATGAACGCCTATATTGATAGGATGAAGCTCAGGATCTTCCATCTTGCAATTACCAAAACAAGAGTTTGTTTTTAGAGTATTTAATTGTGTAAAAACATTTGCTCAGATTCAAGTCAAACTATTTTAGTAATAATTTTACTTCAGGATTCAAATCATCTTTTCTTTCAGGCGCACATGTGTGGTTGTGCCTCATCAGCAGGACAATCTTAAAATTTGTTTCTTTCATTTAAAGCACAAAGCATATAATATGCATTAGTTTTAAAAGAACTATTAAAATACATTTAAAAAAAAATATCTAAATTCATCATTTAAAAAATACAAAACAAAACCATCAGTGAAGTTTTTTTACCCATTTCTTATGAATCCTTATATCCTCAATTTTGAATTTGTGTATTTTTTGTGTCACAGCACCTTTTTGGCGAGTTTCCTCTGTAGACATTTTTGGTTTAATTCGGTTTAGTTCAAGAAATTTTTGTTTATGTGCATAGAGTATGGTTCATTCACTATTATTATATCGATACCAATCAAGTTACAAATTGATGGTTTGATTAAAAAAAAAAAATCAAGTTCGTCTCCGTTTATAATATACCACACATAAAGGTCTGATGTTCAAGAACACACAACTTCAGACCGAAAAGTTTAGGTCTCGAGCCTTTTTTCTAAGAAAAAACGATTATGTTGATACAATGGACACAAAAGTCATGAATCTGATATGCATCAAAGTGTTTCTTTAATTATAGAAATAAGCAAACAAACCTTAAGTAACAACAATGTCTGTAACACCTAAACACATTATTATGACCATCAGAAATAGAATTTTCTCACCAAGGCAAAAAAAGAGAGACTTATTGCTTACTCAGATAGCGTTGCTTTAAGGTCACCACTGTCACTTAGCTCCATAATGATATCACATCCTCCAATTAGCTCACCTTTATAGTACAGCTGAGGAAACGTAGGCCAGTTTGAGAACTTCTTAATCCCTTGCCTAACTTCTTCATCAGTCAAGATATCAAACGACCCGAAACTCACATTTTCTCCTCTCAGTGCTTTCACAACTTTGGAGCTAAATCCGCACTTGGGTTCATCCGGCGAGCCTTTCATGAAAAGCATAACTTTTTCAGAGTTGATCAACGTCTTCAATCTATCTTCCAGACTCTGTTTTCCAATGATCCCATTCTCTGACAAAACTTTTTTCAGCTCACCGCTCTTTTGCATCTCCAAGACAATGTCTGATCCACCTAGAAGCTCGCCTTTGACGTAGAGCTGAGGATAGCTCGACCAGTTTGAATACACTTTAAGCCCTTGACGAACTTCGTCATCTAAGAGTATATCGAAACTCCCAAACTCGATTTTTTCTTGGTTAAGAATTTCAACAACTTTCCCACTAAACCCACACTTTGGTTCTTCTGGTTTTCCTTTCATGAACAGCATAACTGGTTTGGAATTGACCAGGCCTTGGAGCCGAGCTCGGAGGGTCTCACTTAACCCTGTGTTGCCTGAACTTATCCCTCCTCCTTTTCCAGTTTCATCATGAGTTTCTTTTGAGCCACCTGAACTAATTCCCTGATCTATGAATGCTTCTTTTAGTTCACCACTCTCGTGCATCGCTATCACAATATCAGATCCACCAAGAAGCTCTCCCTTGCAGTACAGCTGAGGAAATGTTGGCCAGTTGGAGAATTTTTTCAAACCTTCTCGCACTTCGTTGTCCAAAAGTATATCGAAACTTCCGAAATCAACCTTCTCCTCTTTCAATATGTCAACTACTTTCCTGCTAAACCCACACCTAGGCTCTTCAGGTGTACCTTTCATGAATAACATGACAGGGTGAGAGTGTGTAAGTCTTTCCAAACGAGTGTTGAGAGCATCAGTGGTGGATACAGGCTCAGCTCGGTCTTTCGCAGTAGCTTTAGCATTCTCCTTCACAGTTTCAAGAATCGTTGGCCCTGCAGCTAACCCTAGGCTTGCAGGAGCCGCAGGCTCAGAACTAGTACTAGAACCGGCAACTTTGCCAACCTTATTGGCTAAACTCGAAGGATCTGCTCCCTCAAGTGTATCCACAGTTTTGCCATCCTTCAATAAGGGGAGGAAAAGAGAAATTCATAGTCAGAAAGAAGGTAACAAGCTTTAACTACAGTGCAGGGACAAAGATTCAAGCTTTGAACACACTCTGAATACCAGGAAGACAGGAAATTGCAACCAAACAAAGCAAAACGAAGAATCAGTTAAGTTTGATTCTACACCGATGATGTATTATAGACGTCTTGTTCTGATTATTCTCCTATACGCTCTAGAGCTAGACTATCTTGGAAAATCATCTTAATTAACAGAGATACAAACTAATCAAACAACACCTTTAAGCCCTAAATCCTTCAACTTTCGATCAAACATAGCAAAAACTATAAATTTACCTTGAAGAAGACGAAATACGGCACAGCAGCAACAGAGTAAGCCTCAGATATCTCGGGATGCTCCTCAGCTTCTACCTGAGAAAGAGAAGCCATAAACATATCAATAAAACACTAATTACACAGGAAGGAGATAAATTGATAGGGTTTGGGGATTCAGAAAAACTGCGACGAACCCTAAAGAAGTGAGCGCGAGGGAAATCGGTGGCGAGGTGAGAGAAAACTTGATCCATCTGCTTCGAAGCATCACACCAAGAAGCCCAGAAGTGAAGCACGACAGGTGCGCCGCTCTGGCGCAAGTTATCAAGCTCCGCCTTTGAAGCAATATCCTTCACCGCACCACCCATCTTCGAAGAGACTAAGAGATCCCACGATTTTAGACCTTACACAGAGTCGCTTCTCGAACGCTTCTATTTTCTGATTAGCAATGACGGAGGATTCTTCTGTCGACAAAGAAAGGTGAGAGATTTATAAAGTAAAGGGTTTACGAAAAGAATTAGGGCCTCTTTTGTACGGAATGTGAATCATGTGATGCATTGCTACATTTCCTAATTGTTAATGGCTAATTTGCTAAATTTCCAAATTGTTAAATGGCTAATTTGCTAAATTTCCAAATTGTTAAATGGCTAATTTGCTAATTGCTAAATTTCGCAAACAACCCTCTAAATTGCTAATCACTCATTAGGGTACAAAATTTATAGAAGAAAAAAGTGAAAATAACCCTCCCTTCCGAATTGGATTCTGAGATAAAAACTGAATAGTTCTGGAATCTTCTTGAGTGTCTTTGTTTTTGTCAGAGAGGAACTTATTCTCTGGCAAATTCATAAACATAAATTCCAATTTTTACATTCCTCCCAATAATATTAGAATATCCAAAATTTGTGAAATGAAACTCGGTTAAGGATAAAATGTAACCCGTTTCTTTACATTATGGTTCTGATTGGTAACCTGCGAAATAGCGGAATTGCGTTTTTAAATACAATTCCGCAGGCTTTTTGCCAATCAACCAAATTTCGCTTAATCTATTCCGCAAGATTTTTTCCACAATTCCGCCATTCCGTAAAGTTACCCCTATACATCACAACCAATCACACCCAATTACAACAAATCTGTTGAAGTCACTTACATAAAAATAAATTAAAAAAGCGTAATTTTTACAACAAGCTTTCTCTTGAGAGTCTTTACTTTCACAGCATCAACTGAATAAATCTTCTATTACGAGAGTATGTCCCTTGTTTCTTGCCTATTTACATTTGTATCAGAAGCATGCTTGTCTTCTCCAAAAACCAAATTTCCTCTCACAAACGTTGAGACCACTTTGCCTGATAACTTTCTTCCCAAATAAGCTGAGATGCTCTATTGTCACCACCACAATGAAGCAAAACACAGCCAAAAAATAAAATTAGACATTCGGTTTTCTTTTTTTTTTTTTTGGGGGGGGGGGTTTAAGTGACATACAGGGTGTTTGAAGTGAATTGGATGATCTTCATCTAGGTATTTGTATTGGTTGTCGTATTGGCTGCCATTTTAAGTAATACAGCTTGTGATCTTTGGGTTGTTTTTTTTTTTTTTTTTTAATGCATCTCAGTGGATTTGGATAACTCCATGGATTTGTAGGATCATTCTCTGTGAGAATATCATTGGAGTATTGGTTTTGTGATATCTTTGATAAGTAAAATAAAATACATCATTTCGCTTATGAATGATCTTGTCCATATCTTAAAAAAAACCTCTAAGATTCTGTTACCCTGACACGTAGAGTAAAAAGACTTGAATTTTTGTCTGAGCTACTTTTTAGAGGCGGAGAATAATAAAACTAGAGAAACGAAGCAAAACCTAAGAAAACAGACCCAAGAGAACATACCTATGTCCATCAAGCCTCAATATTAAAAATTTGGAAGAATTTTGTTGTATAACAGACCGACAATATAGATGGTGAAATTCAGAATCCTATTACATCAATGAAAACATCTAATGATTTAGCTCCTCAGTTAAACACGAGTCGGCATGTGGTTGAAGCTCGGGAAGATAATGACAACTCCTTGATCATCCCAAGTTTTGGAACAAACATGTCGTTAGAGGAGATAGTTGCAGTCTCTAAGAGACGAGCGTTTTCCAAGACATAAACCGCAACATCTCTCTCACCTCGTCTTCCAAAGTATTCTGACCAGTTGAAAATTCGCAGACTCGATAGCATACATTCAGGAACAGTACTAGGTTGATCCCACGTTAGATAGTCATCAGAGAAATGATAGTCATCCTAAGCAGAATCAATTAGATTAAAAAAAAACCATATTGTTAATATCGACAAAAATTAATAGTTTTGTCAAGGAAAACTTACTTCCATATCGTAGAGGTCTAGTACTTGCAAGTTAGGAGAATCTTTGAGCAACTGGACAAGGAGATCCAACGAATAAGATTTGTCTACACATAGCTTCAAATGCTCAAGTTGGTTGAAGACAAAACCGTCACCATAAGGCTGCAAATCAAAGATGAAAAAAAAAGTATCAACACAGGAATACATATCTATATAAAGCAAGACCGAATAAATGCAGTTGATAGATAGAAACTGATTACATGTGAAGATATTGTAAGACGCTTGACCGATGTGATTGATACGAGAAGATCAACGATATCACGTCCAGGGTAACAGACATCTAAATGTGCCTCCCTGAGCTCAGGCATATTACCAACCATACAGTTGCGACCACCTTCAAACCGATCGTCGAGTTTGAGATACTTCAAAGAAGGAGTATCTATCACAACCTCATCTACTCCAGAACATTCACAAGGTACACTGAGTGTTAAACTCTGCAAAGACCGGACGCTAATAACGAGCTGTCTCATTTTGTAGCCATTATCTAACTCCAAGGATAGCGACGGGATGCTAAAAGCGAGCTTTGCAAATTTGTCACTGTCCCTTAGCTCCACGGATAGATCTTCAAGAACAGGGCAAATAGATAGAAGCCGGTGAAGAGATTGTTCCTCTGAGTATGTCACCTTACGAAGTTCCAATTTTTTCAGAGAAGGAAGAGAAACCATCCGAGGAACTTCCACGAGAATCGCTCCACTGAGTTTCAAGATCACAAGCGATTTGCAGGTATACAAGCTACTCAACGATATATTTCGTTTTCTCGGATAAGAATAAGAATAAGAAACCTCGAGCTCTCGTGGGCAGCGAGAAACAGCAAATAGAAGCCACAGTTTGATAACTTCAGGTTTGAAACGCTTATTTTTAAACTGGAGACGGAAGCTTTCTATAACCACAGCTCTATGTAATGGCAGATTTTTATCCAGAAAACACTGTAACCGCTCACATTCAGACACTGAATAACCTGTATCATCGTACTCAAGTTTAGGCAGCCACTTCCAAAGACACTCCCATCGTTTGGACAAAACACTAGTTGATACAGCGAGTTTTGTCGGAACAGATGTTAATATCTTAATCAGCAATTCATCAGATAAATCACTGATTCTGTCCATATCTGTACAGCCCAAAAGATATCGTTACCTGATAATACAAAAAACGCAAAAGAAAAAAAAAATGACTCAATCGTATTGACTCAAGCACACAGACTAATTTTCAGAGCAGAGGCTATTATTATACTACATCCATAAGCATTGAAAGCAATGAATGCACCAGACACCGTCTCTAGACAAAAGACGAAGACTAACACTGTTAGTCTTACTTCCATGAAACAATAATCTCATTTATGGTTGTAAGAAAACTAGCTATTGTAGTAACCTCATCGCTTGAATCAACAAATGCCATAAAGGATATGCAATGGTGAATGTGAACAATTCTTATTGCCTTCTAAGCTACCGTAATCAAAATGCCATACAGTGAACATTTTACCATCAGAACTTCACTCAATTACTTCACAAGGCAAATTCTCAAGATGTTTCTGATTCAATTTCACAAAACTACTATAACCATCAGTGCAATAGTCACACAAAATGCTGAATAAAACATCAACAAGTTCCCTCAAAAGCATTTCGTATCACACAAATGGACACCACATTTCAAAGACAGATTTAGTTATAATGCAACAAAGTGTAAATTGCATATCCATAACAATGTTTATTAAATTGTCTAATGAAAATTCAGAATACGGGAGAACACGAAACCTAAAAAAGTTAGAGTTCGGAACTCTATTGTGACTCCCTTAATCAATTGATAGAGGGAAAATGTATACCTTTTGAATCCGCTGGAAAGTGACGAACAAAGCTTGTCAAATCCGGACTTCTTCTCTCCACTAATTCTTCTCTCCACTAATTCTTCTCTTCAGGAATCGCAAATCCACTCTTTCAAACCCAGAAAACTTGAAAACAGAATCCCTAAATCCCTAAAAGAATAATCTATTATTTGTTTTGGATTCAAATCCAACTACATTGAATTGTTTACGTCATGAAATCAACGAAAATATACAGAGAGGTTAGCTAATCGATTGAGAGAGAAGGAGATCGATCTTACCAATAACTCCGATGATGAAACGAACGTTTTTCGCGTCAACCATTGTGAAATCGAGCGGTGAGAGAGGAGAAAAGAGATTGATGAAGAGAGACGAATAACGAATGAAGAAGACGAAGTGTAGTAGGAAACCTAATCGATGGAGAGAGTCTTTTAGGGGTTTATATTTTAGGAGTGATTTTCTTTTTATATGAGTGTAGCTGCTGAGATGGCCAGTTAAGAGCACCTCTATGGTATAAAATCCATTTTGGGTATCTGGACTGGAATTATGATTCGGTATCCGATCTCTAATCCGATATCCAGTCCTATCCGATTTGTAAAAACCGAATATCTGTGGAATTTGGATCCAGATCTAGATAGTAAAATTAATTATTCGGTTATTTTGAATACGCATCCGATAATAGAAAATTTTGAAATCAGATATCCATTATCTGTTATCCGAATCGGTTTTTAATTTCTTAGTCCTCTCAGTCAAATAAAATCCATACCAGATCATGTTCTTCGATTCAAATAAAAAAAAATATTCTTGTGATAGGTCCTGTTCTTGGTCAAAAATATGCAGGACCTTGTTTTGATGTTGGAAAAGTTGCTCGTCTTAAGCCTTGATTCCAGGAAGGGAACTCCATCTTTCAGAGGAGGAAGCAGCAAATCACTTGAGGGAGATCCTTATAAACTTCAAGAACCGCTGATTTGTACTATCTCTTCTTTCGACGGTCCGAGGGAGGCGCTGAGCCCAGTCCTAAATACCGGACTTGAATCGGAAGATCTTCCAACAAGAATTCTCTTCTTCCTATTAGTAAATCCGGACATCAAATGAAAGAGTGGAGCCCCTATTATGTTGACCTTCACTAGTCAACGAAGTGCATCAACGGATGTATTGGAGATCAAGCTATCTATAATAATATTAATGGTTCGCCCTCCCTGGAACAGCTTAGCCCTAATTAGAGCATCAGATGTCTAATTATATAGATGATTTCTTCAAGTCAATTACAATTAAGCTCTTGGGCTCCCGATGTAGTGTTCTAGCGGTCCGACGGTTCCGATCCGACAGGGTCTCCCACTAGCTTGGCCCGAGCCTAAGTGAAATATGAACTCGAAGTTTCCTTCGTAACCTCCGGAACTTCTTCGTAGTGACAGCCCTGTGCTGGCCCCTCGGATGTAAACTTATCAACATGTTCAGTCGACTCCCTTCCCCTTTGTGGGGGTCCGGACCCCTACGAGTGAGCAGAAAAGCTTATTTAGTATTTATTTATTTTGATAATATTTATTGAAATTCATATTGCATGATAATTTTTAATTTTAGATTGCAAGAGAAGAACATGAAAATGGATAACACATGAATATGAAGATAAATTAACTTCTCTATTACTATTTTCTTTTTTGCTATGTAAACTTTTAAACTTTGTGCTATTTAAATGCTACTTGAATGCTTTTTAATTTTTGGTATTTGTAATTTTTGCTAGGTTGATACATTTTAATTATATATGTTATCTCATTATAATTTTTAAAAATTGAAGATTTTTTTTTTTAAATCAACGAAACCGAATATCCGGTTGGATATCCGTAAATATTTGGTTCAAACCGGATATCCGGAGTATCAGATACGGATCCGGATAGTAAAATTGATTATCCGGCGAATCCGGATCCAGATCTGGATACCTTGAAAAGTCTGAATATCCGGCTCCGTTCCAGCCCTAGTCTGAACAAATAAATAATAATATTTTAATACAATATAGTTATATAATTAAATTTTAATTCTAAAACTAAAAACTAACCAATGTAAAAAGACACATGTAGAACCTCTCCACAATGAGGTTCTGAAATAAGGACTTTTAGAATCCTCTCTCTTAATTTTTAAATTTTTTTTTCTTTATTTTAGTTATTAAGAGTCTTTATAAAACCTCCCATTAGAGATGGTGTAAAGCATCTCCAAGAGGCAAGAGATACTGCAGTGTGAGAAACCCTTATATTTAAGGTTCGAAGGTGATGTTATCCAATGATAAACCTTAAAATGATACATTAAAAATATTATATTTTGCACTTTAATCCTCATTATTGATAATAATTAACTAAGATTATAAAATTTTGATAATAACTATAAAAACACATATTAAAAATATTATAAGTAATATTAATTAATACAATTTTTATATAACATTACATATAAATAATAATAAAATACATAAATTAAAACATGTAAGTTTATTTTCTTATGTTATTTTAGTTTGTATGAAATTTGGTTTACGTAATATTGTTGTTATGTATTTGTTTTTTAATGTTATGTATTAGTTTACTATTTGTCATTATTATTTTTATTTTAAATTATTTTTAAAAAAATTTATATGTATATATAATTTATTTATAAAGATATATGTAAAATATTAATAAAATATTAAATTAGGAGAGTTAAAATAATAAACATAAAATTTATTATGATTAAGGTATTTATGTTCAATACCTCAAAATTTGAGGTTTTAAGGTATCTCTTAAATTACATAAAACCTTATATTTGAAATTATAAAATGTCTCTTGGAGATACTCTTACCGAATTTTCTTACAGGTTTTAAGCCTATATACCTGAACTCCCATCAAATTGTTAACAAAGCTAAGTCACCTCCTACGCAGATTCAAGTTGAACCATAGACCTCCCCCAAAGAATCAAGCTATGCTACTATTGTGTCATATACAATTATTAGTATTAAGTCATACTATTAAATATTTGTAGTATTTACAGAGTTATTAGAAAAAACCTACAAGTTATGATGTACATTCACCGTCCTTACCAGTCAGAGCCTAAATTTCATAAACAACCCTCTAAATTGCTAATCACTCATTAGTATACAAATTTATTGAAGAAAAAAGTGAAATTAACCCTCCCTTCGGAATTGGACTCTGAGATAAGAACTGAATTTCTGGAATCTTCTTGAGTGTCTTTGTTTTTCTCAGAGGAACTTATTCTCTGGCAAATTCATAAACATCAATCCCATTTTTAAATTCCTCACAAGAATAGTAGAATTTCCAAAATGTGTGAAATGAAACCCGGTTAATGATCAAATGTGAACGTTTCTTTACATTATACATAATAACCAACCACACCCAATTACAACAAATCTGGTGAAGTCACTTACATAACAAAAAAAAAGCTTAATTTTTACAACAAGCTTTCTCTTGAGAGTCTTTACTTTCACAGCATCAACTGAATAAATATTCTGTCACGAGAGTATGTCCCTTGTTTCTTTACATTATACATAATAACCAACCACACCCAATTACAACAAATCTGTTGAAGTCACTTACATAAAAAAAAAGCGTAATTTTTACAACAAGCTTTCTCTTGAGAGTCTTTACTTTCACAGCATCAACTGAATAAATCTTCTATCACGAGAGTATGTCCCTTGTTTCTTGCCTATTTACATTTTGTAGCAATTGGCATAGTTTCAAGTTGCGAGTAGCAGAGATCCGCAGGCATCAGAAGCATGCTTGCCTTCTCCAAACACCAAATTTCCTCTCACAAACGTTGAGACCACTTTGCCTGATAACTTTCTTCCCAAATAAGCTGAGATGCTCTATTGTCACCACAACGAAGCAAAACACAGCCATAAACAAAGAATTAGACATTCGGTTTTTTTGGGGGGTTTTAAATAAATTAGTTAAGACTTTGCAGTGACATACAGGGTGTTTGAAGTGAATTGGATGATCTTCATCTAGATCAAACTCGACTTCAGGTTCCCAGACGACAATATCAGCGTGTTTCCCGACCGCAATCGCTCCCTGTAATTTAAAAGATCACACAACCGTTTTGCTCTACAAGTACTTAGGATGTGAGGTTAATAGAGAGAGTAATGAAACTGTGGTTTAACATTATAAGGCACCTTAGAGTGTAGTCCAGCGAGTTTTGAAGGCCTATCACTCCACCAAGAAGCTACCTGCTCGAGAGTCACTCTATACTTTTTTCCGTAAGACCATGTTACTGGAAGAACAAACTGCAGTTGGCTCCCAATACAAAATTCCATGAGTTTTTTTGTTGTCCCTCACACAGATTCTAAATATTCCGGATTCATCATTTCTAAGAAATAGTTAGGGATAGCTAAGACTTGTAACGAACCTGTAAAGACGATATCCCACCCCATGCTTTCAAGAAGTTACCATCACTCAGGAGTTTGAGTTCAGGCTTTGTAGGTGAATGATCAGAGCTCAGCATATCAATGTCTCCTTCCTAAATCATATCGAAAGTTCAGAAATCAGGGACTTGAGCAAAGCATAAGGTATAATACCTGGAGTTTGCAAAACAAAACAATACCATCATAGCTTCCCACAACTTTTCTCTATTGGCTGCATCACGTATGGGTGGGGAGCATTTGAAACGAGTATCGCCTTCTGGAATCTCTTCGGCTGAGAAAGCTAGGTAATGCGGGCATGTTTCAACAGTAACACTGTCTCCTTTGCTTTTAGCTTCCTTGAAATCCAAACAAAATTAAGAGAAAAAAGTGTTAGCAATGAGGAACACTCATATGATGATAGTGCTTTTACTGCTCGAAATCCTAAACACCTTTATCAAATCCAAGGAAGAGCCGGCATCAGATAAATGCACAATATGAACATGTGCTCCTTCTGCAGAGCCACCAATCCTTGTGTTTTCAGCAACCGATAATAGGTTTCTGATAGCTCCCGCCTCCCTAATAGCTCGAATAAAGATTCATTTTAGGTACAATGACCTTTTTTAAGAACTTAAATAGAGGGAAAGAGTGCAGAGTCCCACCAGGAAGTTGGCCTGGTTTTTAAATAAGTCAGGTAAGAACGAGGATCATTGTCGCTACCATCTTCAATCTCTGAATCTTTTTCGATCTCTGCGTGTACAAGCAATGGTCGTCTGTATTTAGCTAATACAGATAGCCCTTCCTGCAGAAACAAAAAAATATGACAGGACACGAGCCAATCAGCGATGTTGTAATATATCCTGGATCATGAGAAAGGATCATAATTGACTTAAGAAACAAAACCTTTATATGAGTGATGTTTGTCATTGGGAAATCATTGATCCCTGAAGGACACATAAAGGACTGAACAAAGATTGAGAGAAGCCATGTTAGAAAGAAAAGACTCTTAAAACCTGAAGAGACAGCCAAGCAACCAGCATAGCAGAAT